GCTTTGCTCATGCTGTTATTGCTGCCACCCAGCCCTTTCTAGACCATTGTACATTTCCATGATGCCTTAGGTTAGTCTCTTTCTGGTCTCCTGCCTATATCCTGTGCTTACATTTGTTCCTTATTTTGAACTTTGGGCTGTAATGAAAAGTTTCGCAAAAGAGGCCTCTAAGATGACATTGCCTTGAAGATCAAAGCCCCTTTTCTGCTTAACAAATTCCTCCCTTCAAAACATCTGGCAGACCAGGTAGTAAGAACTACTATTCTAAATCCTTGCTACTAAATCCTTGCATTTCATGGACCAACATCACCAACCTCACCTGGGAGCTTCTAGAAATGCAGAAATTTGAACCCTAGAACATAGGACCCAGACCCACTCATTCATACTCTTCATTTTTACAAATTCTCAGGTCATTTGATTTGCATGTATATTAAAGTTTGAGAAGCAGTGTTCTATGTGATATTCCATGAGCACTTTTTGTTGTTGTTGTTCCAAGGAACATAATTTCTTTGTTGAAAATTTGAAACCCAATAATGTTCAGTCTTTATATAGTAGCAGAATCAGGGATCCTTTGCCAGTCCCTGGTTCTATTGCTTGAAAGAACACAATAAAGACGAAAAATTTTGGCCTAGATCTACAGGCTTATACTCTGTCCCTTCCATTTAATGCTTAATTTGCCAAAGCTCATCTACCTGTTACCTTATTTCTACCTATCACAACCACCACTGCCACCATCACAGCAAATGTTTATTGAGCTTTGCCAAGTATTGTGCTCATTGCATTTACATTCTAATCTAACAATTCTGTGATGTAGGCACTATTATCACCATCAAGAAGTGAGAAAGTTAGCTCATTGTTCACAAAAGATTTAGTCTCCTTTAGGGTATCCAAAAAAGACCCTCATGAGGAAAATTAGCCCTCATATTGCTTGGTATGCATGTTTATCTTTGAGTACATTTCCAATTTACTGCTGAGCATGCTGACATTCTGTACGCAAGTTATTCCAAATGAGTAACAGAACATCAATTGCAGAAATGAGAAGAAAAGAAGATAAAAGGCCTGATTTAATAGTAATAAATAGAAATAAAAAACTGTATGAAAGGAATTATTAAGTAGATATGACATCTTAACTTTATATATTTAGAAAGTAGAGTAAGTGCTAATTAAATGTTTTCTATATTCATAAGTGATTCTAACAGTCACACTACAAAAGCTTACACCCTCAGCTTTAATTATAAGACTATTTCCTCTTCCCACTTCCTCAAAGTGCTGTCATTTCCTCCTTTGCAAGAGAGGAAAAGGAAAAACGGAGAGCCTATGCCTGTTTTTCTTGATTCTTCACTAGCACCACACTCCCAGGACAGGTGAGGAACATGGGCAGTACAGCATTCCTTCAGGAATCCCTCAGCTTTTTACAGCCTTTTACATGCACTTTACTGCATTCTCATTTTTCTCTAAAAAGGCTGAAGCTGACCAGCTGAGCAAACATTCTTAACTGATGTAACACATATTTTAAATGTTACCATAATTCAACTAAATACTCTTAGAAGAATATGTTACTTCAAGTCTGAGACACTCTTCATTTTTGTCAATAGTGTTTCCTTTGCATTGACTCCAAACTTCAGAATCACCATTTCAGGATGCCTTTTCTTCTATGCCTTTTTTGTGCAGACTCACAGTACGATATGCACAAGCAATGGATAGCTTGCATTTTTTTTTTTTTTTCCTTTTTTGTCTTTTTTCGTGTCCGGCAACGGATCGCAACCCTCAGTGTCGCACCCGTACCGGACCGGGACCAGCAACGGGATCGCAACCCTCAGTGTTGTACCCGCACCTCAGTCAGTCAGTGAGCGGGAACCGGTCTGTATGTGGGATCCGAACCCTCGGCGGGAGCGCCGCCACACTCCCAAGCGGTGCACTGTAGCAGTGCGCCACCGGGCCGGCCCGATAGCATTTTTTAAAACACTGTTTTCATTATATATGAATTCAAGTGTGATTTATGCATTCTGGATAACTTTTGCTAATGTTTTTCTTGACTATTTGAACCCCACCCTTTCCACTTTCCGTTCTTTAAGACTTTACACAAACCACATCTCCTTGGTAAAGACTTCTTTGACCATCCCAAACTATACTCTCCAATTCTTTTTTACTTTTAATTCGATACCTCTAAACTTACCCATAAATTAAGATTCTTTTGTTTTTCCATCTAGATTTTAGACCCTCTTTCATGCTTCATTTCAACATAGTAGCTAGCACGGTGGCTTGAATATAATACCTTTCAAATGCTTATTAAGTACATAAAGGTTTAAAATGGGAAGAGGGAAGATGAAACTCTAATTGTGTTGAGGTTCATCTTATTTCATTCACATACTATGTAAGTGATTTGCCCATTGGCTTAGTCTATTACTGCAATGTTATATCTCTAATTTTGATAATCAAATTTTGGGTATCTTATATTGTCAAAAATAAACTAAAAGTGAAGACAAAATGAATAGTTAAAATCATTGATGCCTGTATCACTACTAATATGGGCTGTTTGCTTTATATATACCATTACTGCTATTAGAATCAATTAGTTAAATTACTAATTTGACCAAACAATAAAAGAGTATTTCAATATCTGCTCTATGTAGTTTCATTGTACATTTCAAAAAGAAGTCTTATTTGGTCTCAGATGGTAATCATTATGACACTGAACTAGAAGAACCCAAGAGACATCAGTTGGTGCCTCTCTCCAGGGTAGTCTACTTTTAATGGCATTTTAAAAAGCATCATAGATGCCTCTCTAGGAAAAGAGAATACCACCCCACTAGGTTATATGCTGCGATTCTTTTGAACTTTATTTTTTACTCATCAAATCTAACCCAAATTCTTCATGATGCAGTACAAATACAAGAAAACCACTAACAACATTTTAGGCAAAATAAATACTTTATTGTTTTAATATTTTTTTTTTTTAGAAATCAGCCTTTGTGTGATATTTCAAACATTTATAAACCTTTTAGATATTCTTTCCAAGAATATTGTTAACATCTCAAACCACTTTTGATTAAAATTTCTCACACAAAGAAACATAATAGGAGTTGAACATCATAAATGCTAAAAGAATAATTCCAATAACATTTGGTTGTTACTGTACACATTTATTTAACACATTATGAAACCAAACAGGAAATCATTATCCTTTTTTTTTTCATAAAAACAGTTTTCACTAGTTAAAACTGAATTAAACAATTTATGTATGGTTAAAACTGAATTAAAACCATTTATGTATAAGTAGAACAAATCTAAATTACTTCCATTTTGAAAAAACAAAAACCAGCTTATTCATTTCTATCCATTCAAGTCATAGGCCCCATTATTTTGACAATACCCTACTAGTTAGTCTAAAAGACAGAAGAAACATCTCCTTATAATAAAGAAGTCTGGACAATGCAAAAAGTACATAGTGTTTAACATAAGGCACATTTCTGAAAGAAAACTACTACATAAGCTATAATAAAGTAACATTTGTCTGGGGTAAAGCAACAAGGCTTACAGTGTAAGAACATTAAGTAGTTGTAGGTAACCTCATATAATTCTATCCTACTGCTATTAGTAACCTCCTCAAGAATTAAGAGCAATTTTTTACAACAGAACAGTTTTTCTTCTTGGAAGTGACACTAATTAAAAGCAGTGGAGGGAAAATCATTGGTTGCTTCAAGCTCTCAAAAAATGAATCAGTTATTGCACAGTAAATACCTCATAGAGGTCAGTGTTTTAAGAAGCTAGTCTGAAGAAATATGTTGTAAGTTAGTTAAGTCTGGAAGTCTTCAAGTTTTAGAATTAATTCTACGTAGGGAATGAATCGGAAAATACTGACATACAAATAAATATTAAGCTTTTCAAACTGTTATGAGTACAGTTTTGATAGTTTAGAAAAGAAAGTCAGCAAAGTGCCTAAGTTTCTATGTATGTTTTAAAAAGATATGCGTAGAAGAAATACACCTTATACACTGTATACAGTAGCCCTGCTCAGCAGCAAGTATCTTCTAAAGCATAAATAACACCTCCACCAGTGTATATCATTGGTAACTCCGATATTACATAGCTAACAGGATCCATGCCAACCTTAAAAAAGAAAGAGAAGTCAACATTAAACATCTTTCAAATACTATCATTAAAGATTCTTTGAAAGGGAGATGAGAATTTTCTCTCTCTACATATCTATCTAATCTTCCAATGATCTCTATACATCTCTATACATCTGTACATAAAAGAGTTAATTCTTTTATCCCTTGCTTTGAAAAAAAAATCCTATTAGTTACTTTATGACATAGTTTATCAAAATAATTTTCCTACTTTTTACAGCTGAAATTATATATCATACTTTTCAAATTACATTTTTGTCTTATATTTTATTGAATAGGTATTTTTTAGTTCTACTAAAGTATTATTATACTTAAGTATATTATTCCTTTCTGCATTCCCCACATATTACTATTTATATATATTTTATAAAATATAACTAGGGCTAGGAAATAAAAGTAATTCACTTTAATAAGGAAAATACATTTTTTTTTTTTATAAATTATTAGAAATGGAACTATGGGATATATTTCTTTAAAAGACAAAAATAATTAGGAGAGATACTAATAATGTGATTAGTTCTCAAGATTTTGTTCCATAAGTTGTACATCTAAAATACTATTATAATCAATGCTAACAAAATAAGATACAAGTTTGAAGGTCCAATTCCAGGATTTATTTACTATAATGAAATTTCAGTAAAATGACCCTATATACATAATTTCTTGAAGGTGAGTATTATGGAATTTGACTTGCTTACACTTCAAATGGGGCTGTGTGAGATATTCACACTATGGAATAACATATTATATATATTCTTAAAATCAAAATTTAGCTAGAGAAACAGACCTGGGTACTAAGAAAACAAAAAATTAAAAACCAAGAACTATTTACATTTAACTAAACAAAGAAATTCAGAAAAAATTACCTATAATTTCCATTTAATGACTATCTTGCTTAGAATTAGATGCTTTACTTGAAGATACTGCAGCCAAAAGTCCACTTACAATTTCCCGTCTGATTTCCCCAACAATTGACTCTTTAATCTAGAATGGAAAAAGAGAAAAAAGCATTTAACAATATAACTGTAATCCATTTTTGTGTGTTTTCAGAGAATCATACCATTTAATTCCTGCCATCAACTAAACCAAAGAGAAAACTATAACCCTCACGTGAACCTCCATGCTATATAGAGAAGGAGCAGGGAACTGAATCCATCTATGCTCAAACCCAAATTAGACTCTGAGGTCTAGGCTAGCATTTCGCAGCTAACTGCATTATAAAATATCACAATTCTTAAGTTGAGAACATCAAAAAACGTTATTTCATAGATTAGAAAACTTCTGGTACATAATTTACCTCATGACATAAAACAACCTGGAAGGACTGATTTAATGTTACATTCATGTTTATGTTCTTTATTATCTACCTTTGTAAGGTAATCAGCAGTTGCTTAAAAAAAAAACCCATTAGTGGCAAAATAATATATAAACATATTACCTGTTTATACCAAGTGAAAGCAAAGTATCTAAAGAAGTGATATATTGTTCTAACCTAACATTCACATTTTAAATGGAAAGAGGAAATTATCACTTAGTACAATTTATTTTAAAACATGAAAACCATCCTCAAAACAACCATAAACTCTAAAGAAATAAATTTTTCTTTAGCTGGATGGTATGTCTGTCACCTGTCTGAAGCTTTTGCTTCAGACAAGGATTATACATCTCATTTTATTGTTGGAAACAGCAAGCAGACCTGGGGCAATGACAGTTCCATCAGGATTTTCTTCTCCAGATGTCCAAACACTACATATGCCTATCCCTGCCTTTTCTCTCTAATGATATAGTATCACCTCCAAATAGCCCTTTGCAAAGGCTTTAAATGTGTATTTCCTGAAATAAACTGATAATGCCTTCCCAAATTAGCACTCGAAATACACTTGATCAGCTTTTAAAAAGTCCACAGCTTCCTGTCAGCCTGATCTATTTCCTAAGATGTTCCTAAGTACATCTCGAACTCAACTGAATTCTTTCCAAAAATGGTTCTGTATTAATGTTATGCAAAATCGGTACACAATACATAGATTTATATATAGTTATTCACAGAAACAAAATGCTCTTTAGCTACCAACCATCTGTACTGGAATATACTTAAATAAATAGTATAAGCTTTTTCATTTTACTTTCTATCAATATTTCTAAACTTTAAACAGCATCAAAATTTTTTGCAGTTCACAGCACTTCAGATTCATTTTTTAATGAATGTGTTGGGTACAAATATTATGAAAACCAGAACTTCTTAGCCACAGTATATAAACACAAATACAATTTGCTGAATCAGAACCACTTTAAATCTATATTTACAAGATAAAGCGTAATAGTCTTTCCAGTCCAATGCAACATGGCAATTTTATTATATCTCATCGTTCTTCATCATTCAAAAAACAAACTAGCCAGAAAGCATTCTTTACAAACCAAAATTGTGTGCACACCAACCTCTTTTGGGAGTACAGACATTACTGGAGTAAAACATAAAGAATCTCTACAGTTAAGCATGTTATAATCTAGAAGGAAAGAAAATGAATATTGTTTCATAAAATATTAAAGGGAAAATAATTTATTAATTCACTAATGACATAAGAACAGAGTAAGTTTTGAAAAATGAGAGACTAATACAGCCTAGAAGAGGGAAAAATTTTTATTCTCAGAGAATGACAGACTTTAGATAGTAAGGCATGAAAAGTAAGAACAATTTCAGATGATAGTGGAGACAGAAAACTTTGTAGCAAGAGTATGTTGGATGAGAGGGAGTAGAACGGAGCCTAACTGACAAGACAGTTCCTTCTAGGGAGCTGAAGGAAATCAGAATAGGAAGGGTGACGTAAAATGGAAAGTGTACTGTGAGCTACTACAGGGAGGGGATCAGGTCTCATTTATCAGTGTATGCCAGCATAAATTAAGTGCTCGATAAGTGTTGTAATGAATCAATCAATGAGAGTGTGAGAGAGCACAAGAGTGAGAGACAATATCAGACAAAAAAAGGAAGATAAAGTAGAAAAATAAAGGACTATAGACAGACTAGCACTGAAAATAACAAAATACCTTTATAATTTATTGAAAGAAGAAATGTATGGACAAATAAACCAGTTCTAAAGTCTCACATGCTACAGAGAGGGTGGAAGGATTAAAGTAACTGGAAACAGTTTCGGGCCACTGATCACATACATCACAGATGACTTGGGCAAATTCTAAGACAAAGTACTTTTTTCCTACAACAATGTACACAATCTACACAGAAAATGGGTGTCTTTAATCTGATGAAAGTTTAGTTACTGAATGACTGTATTAAATATTTGTCTGAAAGGACTTTCTTTCAATGCTCCCTTTCAAAAGGAAAAAAAAAAAAAGAATTCTACTGTATTAACACATTATAAACAAAAACACTCTATTTAAAAACCTCATTTGTGGTGCAAGACAGAAACAAAGACCTGACAGATACCATTGTTTTCATGTGCCCATGAGTGCAATAAGAAAACTTCCCTGAAAGTGCCAGCCAAACATGCTTAATCCTCACCTGCAAAACTGTTCAGCTCAAGATTAAATCTTGCCTTACTGAATGGTGCTTTGTTAGTGGGGTTAGGGGCTCAGAATTTATTGGGAAGACAGAATCTAATTCAATTTTCTTGACAGCTGATACACTAAGCTTAAAAGAAAATTAGAATTTAGTACCATAATATAAGCAAAAAGATCACCAACTTAAAATGAACAGAATAAAGACTGATCTGAATTTTAAATATTTTGTAAACAAACTAATGAAAACCACTGTAATTGAGCTAAGATGATATTAATACAAATTATTTTTTATAATTATAACTTGCTGTTAGACTAATCTGTCTATTAATATTCTTTTAAAGTACTTCAAAAGAGTTGTTTTCTTAAGTACATCAATATCCCCCTTATGCCTTGTTTGATCTACATATTTTGCTTGGTAAGTCCTTCTCTGTAGAGAGGAAAAGAGTAAATGTTAAGACCAATATCCTCCAAACTAAGACAAATTCTGAACTAAGTTGTTTCTAATTAACAGGTTTAGCAATAAATTCTGAAAAATTCTTCAACATTTTTCTTGCATGTCTGAAAATTACAAAATATTTCATATTTAATGGGAAGGTCTTGTAAATGATGAACTAATTCTCTAGGACCAGGACAGCATAATGGGATGACTGAATTTTCTTTACGTTCTATTGGCCGAAGAATTAATGTCCAGGTCTAACATGAACGCTTGATTCCTACGAAACTGCTTACAGCATATATTAGGCCATTACAACTTTAAAAATGAGGATTCAAGTGATCATTAAGAAAGTATTTGTGCCAAATGATCAACATAAAGTTTTCAAGGAAAACTTTCAAATCAAAGCAAGCTAAGGGGAACAGAAACACATTTGTATAAAAAAAAAAAGTTACCTTGAAGCCTACTTCATCAGTTAGGATATAGTATGGCGAAGAACAATTACCTAATTTCATTCAAAAATTGTATTTTGATATAAAACATAATTAGGAATGGATTACTAATCACAGACAGACCTGACTGAGTAGAGTGGGTGTACAGAGTTTGCTAAACATTAGCCAGTCACAACCAACTTACAAAAATAATTACATGTGTAGGACAATTTATAGAATTAAGACTTTTTAAACTTTTTGTTAGTACATTCATGTCACGAAAATAAATTACAGACATGTACTTGTCTACTATAGCACTTAAAATGTGAATTTGTTTCAACATAATTGAAATATTAGGAAACAACTTGTGTAAAATGCAATTTTTACATTTGCTTATGTGCAATTTCATCCACGAGAAACATTATGTGAACACAGATAATGGAATTCAGCTGAACCTAGAAACACAAAATACAAAATGCACACACCTTAAATATCTACCAGCTATCTCAGTTCTCTGCATGTTACAAGCCACACCTACCCACACATGGTATTAGAATTCTGTCAGATTTCAGTTCCCCCTCCTTCCACTCCTTCACAGTAACTCACAAGCTGCATCCCTTCCAAAGCCCAATTCCACAAGAAAACTTCAGGTGTGTTTCAACATAAAGTACCCTATTTATTATAGTGTTTACGTATTTCTTAACCATTTAATATACATCAAACTGTGCTGCTTATTTTATTAGGTTTCTAGCTTTTGTCTTTTTAATATGTCACTGACAAAGTTTTGAGTATTGTGCCTCTAATCCTATTTTCCCCATAAGCCCTGTGGTTTTTATTGCATGAGTTTGCACAGTAGAGATTTTTGAGAATACATATATTACAGCAGAACTGACTGTATTTATTTTTAATGTTCTTCTCAAGCTACCATCGTGCAGTTATAAATGAAGGTACCTAATATACATGAACTAATCCCTGGACCCAGAGGAGCAATGGCTCAGTGGAGGGAAGATTCTTGTCTGTTTGTCACCATTCCTGACCTATAACCACTAGAAATGTGTTCTACGTTACAAATTCATCCTAAAAATATATTAGGTTCAAATTGCTAAATTTATTGGAAATATGCAGTTTAAAAATAGGAAGCCACTGACCCTAATTTCTCTGGATCATTTTGACCTTTCCTATATCTAAATTATTAGTTCTTGAATACTTTATACTAAATGCTTTTCTGTGCAATTTTTTAATTGTCTCTTGAATTATTGTTTACCTTCTTACCATAATTTAAGCTTAAGGCTTTCATGTCTTATATGTATTGTTCTTTATACTTCACAGAGCAGATACAAAGTGTTTTTTTTTTTTTTTTTTTTTTTTTTTACATGTATAGGATATTCTTCTTTTTAACTAATGGAAAGAATGAAAGATCTTTCCTTATCATGGGTTTTAGTAACTTGTTTGGAAAGAACTATGTACAATTATGTTTTTTCCTTAGAGTTACTTTAAAGAATTCTTAAAGCAAGGGAAAGAAAAACAATATATTTTCTTAAGAAAGAGAAAAAACATATTCAACATGTACAATTTTTATCCTATGCACTCTACTGGATTTTGCAAACAAAAGGACAGTGTGATTTGAGAAAAGGGAAAAAAATAAAAAGCCATCATAAACGTATATCTATGGGACTCTCACTTTTAAAATAATGTATACTATTCCTTCTTATTACCTGATCTCAGTGTTAAGGACAGTTATTTTACTAATTTTCTCAATTAATCTTTGATCTTTGATTACTAACCTTCCTAATATTTTGCAGTCCCTTTGGTAACCTAAACTATGGTCAATGCTTCAGGTTCTGACACTGGTATGATCCAGGGTAAACCCTCTTTGCATATTGTATTTCAATCTTTGAACAACTCATAATTTTCACTCTTCTCCACTCACCAAACCAAATATATCAAATTCTTTATACTCATTAAAATCACAAACACCATTTTCTCATGTCCACTGAAATTGTAAAATGAGTTTTTAATACTGGAAAAGTTCTAAATTCTAATCCTGATTTTAGAGATGTAGAAAGGAGAGATACAAAGAGTTAGTCACATGTTTATTTTGAACCCTACAAAACACCTTTTCACCACAGTGAATACAGACAATTGCAATTATTTCACACTGGAGCATGGAATTTGCAGAAATGCCATTACAAACATATCTTAATAGACATGAACTGGAGCAATGAGAAAGTTAATTTAAAAGCTCCCTGAAAATTACCAAATATAGTGAATCAAAAGAATATCTTATAAACAATTAATCTTCAAATAAAACCTTTTCTGACACATATCTCCAAATAAATTAATTAAGCAAATACTTTACCCACCTCCCGTATGACTTGCTGCAACTCATCTTGCTCCACATTTTTATGCATTTCCTCAGCAGCTGGCATCGATGGGAGTTGTCCACGCCCTTCTTCCACCTCAGATTTAGGTCCTACAACCTCTGAGGCTTCTTCCACTGCTCCAACTTCCTCAGAACTTTCCAAATTCAGAGTTGTCTGCACAGAGCCTGTTCTAGAAGGAGCAGTTTGCGTTAGGGCCACTGATGCTCGGAATACTTTCTTACTTGCCACGAACTTGGTTTTGGGTTTGCCCACTGAGTCACTAGAAGGTACTCCAGTTCTCCTATTAGCATGAGAAGGACCAGAACATACAGAGGATGACTCTGATGTTGCCTGGGAGAAAACAGATTCTGAGCTTTCTCCAGGAGGAATTTCAAATCCCATTTCTCCAAATCCCAGGCCCAGTTGAGACTTCAGGTAAGACTGTTCCTGCATCAGTTCAGTAACCTGGAAATCAGAAAAACTGTTATTCTTCTCTCTCGAGATTAAGATTGGTAGTTAAAAAGGTTAAAATGCTAGCTGTGATTACTGCCAAAAATCACAAGACTTGTAAAGTCATCACTGTATTTCATTAATTTAGTAACTATTCAATTTCATCTGCAAAAACAGCTAGGAAAATTTTACTTCATAATGATCGAGTAATAAAATGAGTAACCAGAATACTTAGTGGTATGAAATTCTACTTGTTACCACAAGAGTGTCCAAATTACTTGTAAGGAGTGACCAGTGAAAAACAAAATAGTTACTCATATTATTTGTGCTCCCAAATGAACCGATTTTTCTATAATATAATAAAAATCAGAATTTTGCTCAAAAAGTAGTCATATCTAACTACCTAAAGGACCTGGGATCAGACTGTGAAAGCACATTTCCCTGGAGTATAAATTGAATAGTCCTTATGGTGCCTTATCTCCTGTAGGTCATAAAGATAAATCACTTTGCAATTAAGCTGGCTTTCTAGTGGCGTAAGATGGCAATGGACTTTCAGAAGTACCAAATTCACTTCTAATCAATTTAACTAACTAATCAAATTCTGTATTTAAAACAAACATACATTTAATCTACTCTAGAAAAAAATGTGTATGTATAAAAACATTATATCATTCCCTTCCCCAGTGATTTAAAAGAAGAGAGGCTTACTGGTTCCATTACATTCAACGGAGAAGGGCATGACAAGTTATCAGCACTTCTACTGCCATACATTCCCTGAAAAGGTAACAACAATATATATGTATACGAACGTACATATTTTTTCAAATTGCAAGTGTCTTATAATAAAATTAACGGGCTAATTATTGCCGTGAGGCATCCCTTTACATCACAAAGGTCATCCTCAACTGTCACTGAGTCCTATAAAATGTGTTACCGTAACTGAAAGTTGATACCACAAGATGCATAGGAGATGTTCTGATCCTCTGCTGTCACCAACACACATTTCTCAGAATGACAGATCAAAACCATGGGAAAATATATTCATTAATGCTATGGAATATTCCTATTCTATGCTATACATATATGTGCGTGTATACACACACTCTCTACTCTACTCCATATACGTGCATATATACGTATGTGCATATATTCATCTATTTATGTTTAACAAAATCAAATATGTTATTAAAGTAACAAAGAAAAATTCACTATTTCAACATTTCAAAGCAACATACTCTACAATTTCAAAGATATTGACAGAAATATTAACAGAACTGTTATTTCAAATGTCATGGAAAGGAGCATGAGAAGTATGAAAAGTGGTACAAAATAAAGACAATGTTTCTTTTTATTTTCTTGGTTGTATACATGTTTTCTATCTAAACATCTGATTCCTTAAAAAACATAAAGAATGGAAAAGAATCAAAAATAAAGGAAAAGCTCAAAAGGAACAATTATTAATCTAAAGGCGAGAAAAGGGAAAATAAGACTGAGTGAAATATATGGGTTCTTTGTAGATACACGCAAACTTAAATTAAAATTTTAATTCAAATTAAAATTTAGTCTCACGTTAATAATTCACTATCATTTTTCCTTTAAAAACCCTAAACTTTTGTATTGATCCTTATTCTTTCCTATTATTAAAAATTATCTTTATAATTTTTCAACATATTTCTAAATATACTATTTAAAATAATTGTCACAACTTATACATTCAAATAATTTGTGGAAAAGCTCCTTAAATATTCTGCATGCTTCTAATGCCATTAAGATAAATGACTTAAAATGAAAGAACTTGTCCTAAATTATGTGGAACTTCATAAGTAAATGCTTCATAAAAACTACTGACAAGCCTCAAAGTAGCATACCACCAGTGCTGAGGAGCGGAAGGGTGAAGACCCCCGCCCAGCACGAAGCTGCTCCTCCAGTCCCAGCAGGCGTTCCTCCAGCTGCAGTTCCAGGTCCTGGAGTTCCATTCGGACTGAATTTCTCAAACTCTGGAGCTGGTCAACTTCATACCTACCAATATGGTGAAAGGTACAACGTTTAAAAACCGTTTGGGGATTCCTATTCACAACTCTTTTAACAACCACTATAACCTAACAGAAGGCACTGAAATTTCAAGTTCTATAAATTAGCACAATATCAACTACAATAGGTATAACCACTAAGACAATCGGTCTTTCTTCCGCTATCTTCTCTCACAAATATCCCAAACACTAAAAAACAGGTTACAATCACCATTCCTTAATATACTGAAGGCACAGAAGTTTACTTAATAAAACACTATGTTTGCCTAACTTTATCTACACTGGTTCACAATACAGATATAGGGTACACAGCAATAAAAATAAAACCTAGTTTAAAAACATGTAAGTTGAAAAGGCTTCTTTGAATGAAACACTTTTTGAGTTATGTTAAGACGAAACAAACTTTTACCTTTCCTCCTCAGTCATATGATGATAAACCATGGTTTGCTGACGCAGCATAGCCAATTCTAAATCCATCATTTGTGTTCTGAACAAATTCAGGCTCCGCCTCATTACTTGGAGCTCCTGAAAAGTATTCTAAAAGGCAATATAACAAAATTATGCTTCTAAATCATACAAATTATTTTGTAACAAAAACTTAACTAAGAACTTACTTCATAAAGAGGTAGAACAGATGATTTCTGAGTACTATACGGAGCAGCAGCAAGATCAGTTCCTCTCATCATGGGGTACTTCAAAAAAGCAAAAGGATGATTAAAGAAAATCAATGAAAGTGACTACTTCCAACTTTTCGGAAGAGTTAAAAAGGCAGAATTTTGGGGCTACATATTATTCTCTTGAGGTAAAAACAAAAATAAAAACCAACCTTCACATGAGAGTACTTCAAAAAGTTCATGAAAAGATTTGTATTATCTTTTAATTCTATTTTCCCATGAACTTTTTGAAGGACCCTCATATTGTAAGCAGGAACTAAAGTAATCAGTCTCCAACAACATACCTATTCTAGCTGTTCCAGGTTTCAGCCAATATATTTGGGAGAAGGAAGAAGCAAAGGAACAGGTACAGTTCATATCTATGTCTTATAGGACTCCCCTCTTGCCTTCGAAGGTAGAAATACAAAAACAAAACTCAAAAATGTAGATTCAATTGCAAATGTCATCATGAGACTGCATTGACTTGGAGAGAAAGAGTGGCAGCCAATAACCACACTCTTTCTTAAGCATGTGAGCATCTGCTCTGTACCATTGTTTCAGACAGTGAGATAAAAATGTAAAAGTATTCCTAGCCTTCCAGTGTTCTCACAGAGTAAGGAAGAAGAAAAGAGAAATCTTTAAAAATTATAACATTGGGGGAGGGGAGTTCTGTGATGGAAACAAACCAAAATTCAGACTAGGTAAGCTTTCCCAACAGTGGTGACACCTCAGCTGAACCTCAACAGTAAACAGGACTCAGTCATGCAAAGAAAGGCAGGGGTGGGCATTCCAGGTTTTAAAAAAAGTAGCACATGCAGATACCTAAGAATGCACAACTATCTAGAGACCTGTATGCAGTCCACTCCTCATCCAATTCATTAAAATATGGCTGGTCTTGTACTGTTGGTGTAACAAGGTCTTCACCAAATGGTGTGACTGTTGTCTCACTGTCACAACTATCAGCACTACTCCCCATGGCTTGCAAGGACTCCTGAACCTGTGAGAGGAAAGCAGGTGGAAAGATGAATACAAGTAAGAAATATTACTAACGAAATATCACACTGATATGATGCTTTTCTACTTTTATAGTCTCCCACCTTGGTGTGGCCCTGGTTCTGCTCAAAACTGCTGTTATTGCCCTTTATCAGCCACCACAACCACTCACTCCCCACTTCCTTGTAAAGATTATTTCAGACTTTCACTATTTTCCTTAAATTCCTTTCCAACACCCTACTCCTCTTCTTTCAATTCATGACACTGACTCACAGAGAAAATGAACAAAAATGTCTTTCCAGTCTTCCCCAATACCTACAAACTTCCCGAAACTCTCCCCATCATTCCCTCCTTCTCTCCATTCTGAAAGGAAATTGTCCCCTTTTTCAAAGCTAATCTTTCCAACCTGTGCTTCTGATCACATCTTCTCTAGGACTAGAGTATTACTCCAGTTTCATTCCACATTTTTCTGGATCAAATTCTCTTTCTCTTAGAGTTCCTTCCCTTAGTCAAACAACTTCCCTAAGTCATTCCCAATGTTAAAAAGACAAAAAAAAAACTACCACCTCCACCCTTAAGCCGTCATCTTTAAAAAAAAAAAAAAGAGCAGTCAACATCCCTGTCTTCTCTTCCTCACATGGATTTGCTCTCTGATCCTGCTTGTGCCTCACTGACTCCATCAGGACCACTTTCCTGATGTCACAAGCCACACTCTCACTCTGATGGCCAACTTTTCTGTTCACCTGATTACTCTTTCTGAGCCTCCCTAGATATATCTCTTGTCTGTTTATCCCTTAAATGCTATATTCCTAAAGGCTGTCTTGGGGGTTCTCTTTTTCTCATCCCAATTTTCTTTAAAATTTGCTTATAGATGTTTTAAATACTTTTTGTGTGCATTCTGTATACTCACATATGGATTTAAAAAGCTTCTTGATGGTAAAGATATACCTGTTTTCTGGATTATTTAACACAGTCTAGCATAAAAGTCAGTATAACATTCAGCAAGCTAAGAATCCATACTTAATGTTAGTTATTGAATAAGCAAAACAATTATTATAAAATACTGAAATACAATGATGGCAAAAAATAAGAAAAACAACAGACCAAACAGTTTAATGAGCAAAATAATCTGTTTACTGGTGGTCCAAAAATTAAAAAGGAAAAGCTTTTTTGTTTCATATTTGGTCAGAGAAAGATGAAGAATTAGTGAAATCTAATATTTGTAGTCAAATGCTTTGATAACATCTATATCCCAGAGGCAGTTTTATCCTGCCATTTAAAAATAAAGATTAAACAAATTCAGCCTTAAAATATATAGTTATTGAAAAATCACCTTAAAATGACGTTAATCATAGTGCCTATAATAGAAAATTTTACCTGAAGATGATTAAGGGAGAGGCAGTCTGTCGAATCTTCAGCAAAACCACTGCTATCAGAATGCTGACTTGCAGTACGTAAGAGATGATCTATCAATAAAAAAACGTAGTTATACAAAACCGCTAAATAAGACTTTAATGAGAGCAATATTACTACAAATATATGATTCCTATCAGATATAAGATACACACATGAATTCCTTCTTAGAAATGTACACATTACTTATGCAAAACTGTGGCTTTGAAGCATGGTAAGTAACTCCAATTCAAACAAAAACTGAATCAGATCTTCTATCAAAAATTCTCAGTACTGAGTTGCTAATTAGCCTCTAGTTATAATGTATTTTGGTGAATCAAATTAATGTCTTATCCTTAGAAGACAACTGGCTGAAAGAGAAGATGATGCTAACCAAAATCGAAGTACAAAAGTAAACCATTTGTATTGTGTAAATATGTAAAAATATTTAAGAGGTGAAATTAGAGGTATTATTAAAAGGAATCAGATGTATAGTATGCAAAAATTTCTATTATCTCCCTAATAAGAAAATAAGAATACAAATAAGGCTAATAAATAATTTGAAATGCAAGAATACTTAAATGTCTCTGATGTTTCAAATGACGTGAACATTGGTAAGTTATGAAACAGTTCTTTCATAACAATTACATGAATCTCAGTCAAATAGCTTCAACTAGTACATAATATTGTTTATCTTGTAAAATCCTTCTTTTTATTTTTCTGTATTGGAACTCTAACTCCTGGTTAGTACAACCTAAAAAAGTGTTTTAAGTAAGTAAAAAAGCCAACTAATAACAGCAAGCATAATCACATTCCATCCACACAAGTAGCACAATGGGAGAGACGTTAGTTATTACATTTACTAAGGGAGATGCTTCATGAGAAAACAAAGTTCCTCAGAATTTCAAAAGCAACAGGCTAAATAAAGTATATTTACCAAATCCACATTCATTTAAGATTTGAACCACATAAAGAAAGCACTAGATAACACGATTGAATAAAATCCAAAATCTATTAAAGTTCATCTGATTTTGAAAAATATACCACTTTGCTTCAGTTTCCATGAAGTAATTTTTTCCCATCAAAAATTTAGAATAAATAGTATGGCTGGTTAGCTCAGTTGGTTAGAGCATGGTGTTATAACACCAAGGTCAAGGGTTCAGATCCCCATACAGGCCAGCCACCAAAAAAAAAAAAAAAAAAATTAGAATAATTCTCTAGTATTGTTTTGATATTAACAAAACTGCATAATGAAATATAATGAACTACTCCATATCCTTGATAAGTCTAAGTAAACTGGAATAATCATGAAAATGAATTGCAAAATGCTATTAACATCCATCCTAATATAATTAGGCATTATATTAACTGAGAAAATCCTTATCATCTTATGTCATAGCAGTTATCACTGTAATTATGCATTTGTATGTCTTTTTAATTTTTTTTTTTTTTTCCGTGTCCGGCAACGGATCACAACCCTCAGTGTCGCGCCCATACCGGACCAGGACCGGCAATGGGATTGCAGCCCTCGGTGTTGCGCCCGCACCTCGCTTAGCCAGTGAGCGGGAACCGGTCTGTATGTGGGATCCGAATCCTCGGCGGGAGCGCCACCACGCTCCCAAGCAGCGCACAGTAGCAGTGCGCCACTGGGCCAGCCCGTCTTTTTAATTTTTAAAATAGATTGTAAGCCTTCTGAAAGCAGGAACCTTATTTACTCTTCTTTGCATTGCAGTACCTAGAAGAAGACAATAAATAATGCTTGCTGAACCAATCAATGATAACTGTTACCTTAAAGCAACAATAGAATTAGGCCCTCACGTAAATGATTTACAAGTGGAATTGCCTCTCTGGTTGGGCAAAAGGCAGCTGCCAGAGAGCCCAGGGAAGACAGAGTAAGCTGCTCTGACTTGGGTTCTCTCTGCTGAGATTTGTTCTACCTACAGCAGCACACTGTTTGTGCTGAGTTCACCCCACAGCTGTTCAGCCATGCTGGAGTTCACGTAGATCAGGTCAGAATATCAATTGCAGATGTTGGACAGTAGAAAGAACAAGGAGGCCTGAGTTCAAGTTCCTGCTTAGTTTCAGTATCGTTAATTTAAGCAATAACTTCTCTCCTCTGCAAAACGGGATAATAATACTTCTATCTATCTTACAGGGCTACTTCAGGAAGTAAGTAGAAGGCAGGTGAAAATTTGTAACCTATAAATCACATTCAAAGTTCTTTAATCAGACATTTCTATTTCAAAAAAAAAAAAAACAAAACAGTTCTCCACTGAAAAAGATGGAACTAAAAAGATTTAGATCAGTCCTTAAGATATAAGGTATTATTTCTAATTAAAAAATAGGACATTACAGGAAACAATGAAGTGAGCAAAAAACAAAATCGAGAAACTTTATTTGTCCAGTATCATAAAGAAACAAAGCAGAACACATGTATATTCTCTGCTAAAGAAAGTATTATGTGTCTTCTGCAATAAGATGTTGGACTTCACTCAACGTTAAGTACCGAATCTTAGCTTGTGAAATGAGTTTAGTCACTAAACCTCTTTGGGCTTCAGTACATAAATCCCAAACTGGATTAGAGATTGTGATTGTGACAAGTTTAACTTCAAAATTCCTACTACTAAATTACTATATGTACTTTTACTAA